TCGTTCATGTCTGTGCCTCAGTTTTCTCATCTGTAAAGTGGGGGCAGGAACGGTACCACTCAAAGGATTTCGGTGAAGACTGAACGCAGAGCAGGAGGAAGGGCGTGCCAGGCTGGGGGCGTGTGTCTAGATGTCTGTGGGAGCCTTCCCACCTCCCCCAGGAGTGACCTGTGGCCATCTGACAACGAGAGCAGAAGTAATGCCCTAGTCGTTTGATTCAGTAGTTAGAGCATCGGCCCATGGACTGAAGGGTCTCAGATTTGATTTCTGTTGAAGGGGATGTATTTCGGTTGCAGGCTCAATCCCTGGCCTCCGTTGGGGCGAGTGTGGGAGGCAACCAATCTGTGGGCCTCTCTTACATCGATGCTTCTCTCTCTGTGTCTCTCTCCCTCCCCTCCACTCTCTCTAAAACAGTGGTCCTCAACCTTCCTAATGCCGCGACCCTTTAATACAGTTCCTCATATTGTGGTGACCCCCAACCATAAAATTATTTTCGTTGCTACTTCATAACTGTAATGTTGCTACTGTTATGAATCGTCATGTAAATATCTGATATGCAGGATGTATTTTCATTGTTACAAATTGAACATGAAAGCATAGTGATGAATCACAAAACAATATGTAATTATATATGTGTTTTCCAATGGTCTTAGGCGACCCCTGTGAAAGGGTCGTTCGACCCCCAAAGGGGTCACGACCCACAGGTTGAGAACCGCTGCTCTAAAAAAAATCAATGGGAAAATATCCTCGGGTGAGGATTAAAAAAAAAAAAAAAGAGTAGAAGGAATACTCGCCACTGATCTCTTGGGCTCCAGGCGTGGTCTCGGGCAGAATGCTAAGCACTTGCTATCCAGTGGTTTACTTGATCCTCACACGCACCCCGAGACAGCGTGAGGGCCCCCCTCCCTGTGCACACATTGGGGATGAAGTTCCTTCCCCCAATGACCCCGCTTGTGCGAGGCAGAGCTGGGATCTGAACTGCGGTCTCGCCAACTCCATGCCCCGCACCCCCGCACCCTTGCACCCCTGCACCCCTGCACCGGGGCTCCCAGTGTGGCTCCTGGCTGTCTAGGGGCCCGAGTGCCTCCTGCGCGGTGGCCCCGAGGACCGGGCCCGGGACCTTGCCTGCAGGGCTCCCGCCTGGGGCTCTGCTACCTCCCACACTTCGTGGGTCAGGGCTGTGGGCACCTTTGATACCACAGCTGGGCCTGCTGGGCCACTGACCCACAAGAGCTGCTGGCCAGGCTGGTTGTCTTGTCCTTCCTTAAGCGTGATCCTTGGTCCCTGGCCAGTGCCAAGTCCCTGGGCCACCTCTGCCTCTGTGCCCACAGGAGCCCTGATGCCACTGTCCAAGCTCAGGCGGGCATCGAAGGAGCTGACCGGAATCGGGGCCCTGCCCCTCATCGGCTGGGGCTCCAGCGCCAGGCACCTGGGCTCTTGGAGCCTCCTCCTCACTTAAACACGGGGCTAGTGGGCCCCCCTTTCTATGGAGGCTCTGCTGGGGGGCCCATGAGTACTTGGTAAGGGATGTGAGTGGCTGTCTTTGCATTAGTTTCCCGTCTCACATGGCCCCTGGGGGTTGAGGGCATTTTCTTTGTAGGCAAGAAACCTAATAGCAATCATACCTGTCGCTTTACAATTTGCAAATCGTTTTTATGGGCATTTATTCCTCGAGGGATGGAAAGAGCGGGGCGTTGTGTCGCTTAAAGGACTCACTCTTTATAGAAGGTGCCTGGCACGGCGTCCGGCAGTAAGAAATGCACCGGACGTGTCAGCTGTCGTGTTGGTGTTGCTGGTGTCTCACTGTGCCCATTTAAGGGGTAGGCAGACTGAGGTTCCGAGAAGGCAGTGGCTCCAGGTCCAGGTGCGAGGGAGGTGATGGAGCGATTTGCAAATCGTTTTTATGGGCATTTATTCCTCGAGGAATGGAAAGAGCGGGGCCGTTGTGTCGCTTAAAGGACTCACTCTTTAGAGAAGGTGCCTGGCACGGCGTCCGGCATGTAAGAAATGCACTGGACGTGTCAGCTGTCGTGTTGGTGTTGCTGGTTTCTCACTGTGCCCATTTAAGGGATAGGCAGACTGAGGTTCCGAGAAGGCAGAGGCTCCAGGTCCAGGTGCGAGGGAGGTGATGGAGCCGGGACGCTATCCCATGTTGCCTCTGGCCTAGCGATCAGAGCCTGAGGACCTGGACACGGCGCTGCCCGGCCCTGGGCGTCGGGCTCCGTGGCTGAGATGAACGGGCCCTGCAGTTGCGTATCTGTGTTAGTGAACCATGGCGCCCAGGAGCTTTCGAAGCGTCCTGCAGAGCTGAGCAGGGTTTAGCCGGAAGAGGCCGGCCCCAGGACTTGCCAGAACTCTGCTCTCATTCATCAGAGAGCGAGGTCCCCCCAGCAAACAGTTCTTCTCGGAGAGCCCCGAAGCCGCCGTCAGAGGAGGCTGTGGGTGCGTGACGCGCCCGCGAGGCATCCTTACGGGCCCCGGACAGACGCTTTGTTGGTGGTGACATCTGGAGTCTTTCAACTCCGAGTGCCTGTAGACACGCGTACTCTGGGGCCTTTGTCTCGCAGACGCCGTCGGCCGGGCTGGTGGCGGCTGGGTCAGCACGGAGCCCCGCGCTCCGGAAGACGGACCTCAGCTCGCAGGGGTCTGCGGTGCCCTTGAGGACAGTCCCCGGCTCCTACGAGAAAGTGCCGCCTGCCAGCCCATCGCCTTCCCCTGGCATGACAGATCGGCCCTAATTGGCTGCCGGGGCCTCCCCGCTGCCTAATGATGCCACCCGAGTGTGTCCCTTTCCTGTCACATCTCCCAGCTCCCCTGTCAGCTCCGGCTCTGTGAACACAAACAGCCAGTCTGCCAGCCCAGGAGATGTTTGGGGTTTCGGTCATTGGCGGGGGAGGGGAGGGAAGCCGTCCTGAGCCAGGAGGCAGGGGGCCTGGTGCTGGGTCAGTGGGCACCGAGTCTGAATGGCCACCTTGTAGCTGCCTCTAAGGAAGAGAAGGCAGTGCCCCCGGGGGGTTTGAAGGAAGGGAACAGAGAAGGCCAAGCCGACCCCTAAAATGCTAGCTGTGTATCCTCCCAACAGAACAGAAAACAGGAGAGCGGCCCCCGGCTGAGTCCAGTGGACAAGCTGGATGGACCCCACGAAGCAGTTTTAAACGTTTCATTAACGTTTTTGTTCATCGGGAGGAGCACTGGCTTTCCTGTCGAGCATCTGAGAAGCAGGATTTCCCCCTGACTTTTCTGGGAGAGGGTGCTTTCCTGTTCCTTTTCATTTTTCTCGAAAAGGGAAGCTGGGAGTGTGGGCCCTTTTTATCGCTTGTCATTTTGTGGTCGCAGAGGCGCTGCCGCCGTGTCATTGTGGGCCCCGGGAGAGATAAGGCAGAGTGATTCCCCCAAACTCATCGCTCCCGGCAAAGAGGAGCGTTTCTCAAAGTGGGTTCCTCGGAACACAGATCCCAGGGCATGCTTCTGAGAAATAAAACTCCGTGGTCTGATGGGGTTCAAGGGATGCCGCGTGCGGACCACGTTATACGGTTACTCACAGTGCCCGTTGCCATAGTAAGTCCTGCAGGAAGGGACCTTGTTTAACTTCGTTTAAAATAATCTTTTTTGATCCCAGAACTCTTCTTGGCAGAAAACCAATAAATACAGAAGACAGTTTGACAGCTCGTCTTAGCCTTTCGTCTGGAGTCATCCTGCTGGGCGGGGGGCAGAGAGGTGGGACCTCTGTGGATATCCCAGAAATTTCCCAGCCTGAGGACTGACCAAGCTCCCTCCCCTCCCCCACCAACCCCACAGCCCCTCGGGGCAGCCCGACCGCTGAGGCGACAGCTCTGCCCTCGAGGATGAGCTACCAGCCTCTGCCCTTGGGGATGAGCTACCAGGCATCGTTGTTTTTTTGTTAATCCTCACCTGAGGAAATTCTTTCCCATTGATTTTTAGAGAGAAAGAGAGAGAGAGAAAAAAACATTGATGTGAGAGAGGCACGTCGATTGGTTGCCTCCCGCACGTGCCCTGACCAGGGCCAGGGATTGAACCTGCAACCCAGGTACATGCCCTTGACCAGGAATTGAACCCGAGACCCTTCGGTTCATGGGCTGACGTTCTAACCATTGAGCCACCTGCCAGGGCGGGCTACCAGGCATCTTTACCCCACGCGAGGGGACCAGGCCAGGCGCGTGCGGGGATTGGCTGGTGACCGGCTGGTGTGTGGGGGGAGATGAGGGAGGCGTATGGAAGCCAGAGCAGGGAGGTCCAACATGTACTGAAGCGTTGGGTTTACGGGAAGGGCGGTCGGAGCCCCCCCAGAGCACACCGCCCGCTACAAGCCACCGGGACCGCCGCCCGGGACCCGCTGTGGGAGGAGGGTCCAGTCTGAGGTCTCTTCTTGAGGCCACCGCGCAGGCTCGTTGTCCCCCTCCAGGGGGGACATGGGGGCATTTTATGATCTGCTCTTTGCCTTTTGCTGAGGTGGGGGTGGAACTCTTTCTGAGGGAGAAGTGTGGTCCCGTGTTGTGTTTCGTGGTGGCCGCAGGCTGAGAAAACTTACCTCCTACACAGCAGTGTGACCATCAACTTTTTAAAAACATATATACTTTTATTGATGTCAGAGAGGAAGGGAGAGGGAGAGAGAGAAACATCAATGATGAGAGAGAATCGTGGATCAGCTGCCTCCTGCATGCCCCGCCCCCCACCCGCCACCACTGGGGATGGAGCCCACAACCCAGCCATGTGCCCTGACCGGGAATCAAATTGTGACCTCCTTGTTCATAGGTCGACGCTCAACCACTGAGCCACACTGGCTGGGCTGATGATCAGCTTTTCAGGTGGGATGGGACCTGCCTCCATTGGCCCACATTCCCATCGGAACAGTCAGAGCAGGGCCCCAGCCTCCTTGCGACCAGGCAGCCACATGCTCACGGCGCCACGTCTTCCGCCCCGATGCCAGGTGCCACCGGACCCCGGGGCGTCCTTCATCTCCCTGCCTTCCCTTCCTCTAGGAGCTGGTGGGCGAGGTTTTCAGAGAAACGCTCAGCGAGGAGGAGGAGGAAGACTTTCGACTGGAAGGTACTGGCCTGCATTGCTTTCTTCCCAGGGGGCAGGGCGGAGGGGATGGGGCCGTCTGGTCTACCACATGCCCTGCACAGCCTCCAGAAATCTGTGGTCCAGGCGGAGGCCAGGACTCTGGGGGGAGGGCTGAGGAGCAAGAGGAAAGTGTGGCTCCCACAGTCCAGGCCCAGAGTGGAGCCGGGCCACGTGGGTCCCCGGCCCGGCCCTGCCGTGTGGCCGCGGTGGGGCCTCGGATGGGCTGTTTGACCGCAGCTGCTCCGGAGGGAGTGAGCGCAGTGGCTCCTCACGGGCCCCACCCACAGCGTCAGGCTTGCAGTGAGCGCTCCCTCCCGGAGCCGTGCCGTTCCCCGTTCTCCGCTCGTCCACTCACCTGGAGCACACGCGTGTGGGCACCCCCTCCCCCCTCCCCTCCCGCCTCCCCTCCCTCCTCTCGGCTGTCCCGCCTCCTTTCCTCCAGGGGAAGCACCGCGTTGAAGAAAGAACTAGGACCTAGAGGAGGGGTTGGACGGGGTTGTCGGTGGTCAAGTTGTTTGGCCCCTTCCTTCAAACGAAGGCTCACACAGGAGCCCGGGCCGTAAAGTGGCGAGAGCAGGCGCAGACACACGTCATGGATAGAAAGCACGTTAACCTTAACGGAGCCGGGGCCGCCGGGCACCGCTCTGTACTTCCCTGTGCACACGTGTAGATGCTCATGTGTGTGCTGCTGTGTGGCTAGAGGCCTAGACCAGTGATGGCGAACCTTTTGAGCTCGGCGTGTCAGCATTTTGAAAAGCCCTAACTTAACTCTGGTGCCGTGTCACATATAGAAATTTTTTGGTATTTGCAACCATAGTAAAACAAAGATTTATATTTTTGATATTTATTTTATATATTTAAATGCCATCGAACAAAGAAAAATCAACCAAAAAAATGAGTTCGCGTGTCGCCTCTGACACACGTGTCATAGGTTCGCCATCACTGGCCTAGACAGACCAGAGCAGCCGCTCCCGGGCGCGGGAGGAGGAGCCTCACCTGGGAGAGAGTGGTGCAGGGGACCGTAGCGTTAGCTGTGACCCACGCGTTAACTTTTACGAGAATGCCGCCCCAGATTCCTTGGGAAACGAAAGGCGAAAGACGGCGTTAAACAGGGGACACAGAAGTAAGTAAAGCCGGGAGAGTGGCTGTGGCTGCTGC